TTGACTTCCTAATATTTTAAATCATCCGACAGTATTTTCCGTAAATAATTATCATAAATAATTACCGACTACAAGTACTAAAACAATTTCTATTTCTTCGAAGAGTAGGCTTATGTAAAATAAACTTTCAATATTATGGGTGGCACAAAATTGATCGAAAACATTTGATCGAATACATTTAATCGAATGCATTTAATCGAAAAAACACTATCGAGTAACAATTCATCGAAAAGAAAAAGGATCCAACAGAAAAATGATCGAAAAGAACACTGATCGAAAAGAACAATGATCAAAAAGAAAATTGATCGAAAATAGATTTGATAGAAAAAGCAATTGATCGAAAAATCAAATATATAGGTATAAAATTATAGAAAAATATGAAAAATTAAAACATACATTTGAACTAATTTACCTAACCTGTGCAGCCTAGAATCATCGCTGGTTGCTTCGCAAAAACAAATATCCAAAAAATGAAAAAATAAAAAACTTAACTAATGTATCTAACTTACCTAACTTGTGTGACAGCAATCAGTTAAATTTAAATAGCACAGGTTCGGTAAATTAGTTTTTTATTTTTCTTATTTTTGTATAATTTTTTTTGCGAAGCAACTCTCTAGAGCTCCAGGCCGCACAGGTTAGGTAAATTAGTTATTTTTTAATTTTTCTTATTTTTCTGTAATTTTTATTATGAAATTTAAACACATATTTTGTCAGAGTTCTACGCAGATCGATTTAATCACGGTTTAAATTATTATTAACCAAACATATTTCTGTGTAAGTATATGGGTACAAGATATTTCAATAAATATCAGATCAGGAAAAATTCGTTTTATTTCCAAAAATAATAACAAAAAAACTTCATATATAAAGGTATAAGGTAGCCAGAACCGACTGTAAATTTTGTTGAAATCAAAAAGAATTTGTTGTACTCTACTTTAGTTTATCTTTTTGTTTTCCTATGTTGTCGACTAGTTTATGCCCTAATGATTTTAAAATTGGTGTATTAAATATAAATATTTCCCAGAAACTGCTGCTTGAGTTCCCCCGAGCATAGAAGGCAGTGTTTCTTCATCCTGGTTGCATCTTCAAAAACATTTTTAGAACAATATTTTAGGAAAATCATTAATTTGTAAAATACTTCTAAAATTTAGATTTTTTAGTATTTTTTCACGTTTTCGTGTAAATAAGTAGAAGTGACCTGAATTCTCATTTGTGGGAATGTCGTGTCACATCGGACAACCGGTAACAACATTCGTTATTACCAAAGATATACAGTTATTATCGAGGTTATTACTAACATCCCAATGCGAACAAAGTATACAGTTCTTTACATAAACGATGGTTGCCCAACGAGTCGTTGATTTTTTATCATATTTTTTTTTTTTTGAACAGGCAGATGTAAACAAAAAATACTTTTTGGCATCGGTAACACAATAAACACTTGCGGACCCGACTCAAATGTCGCCACTGCCGCGTCGCGCATTATTTTTGAAGATATCATTCGTTATGATTTACCTTATAAAATAAAAATAGTTATTTTACTTTAAGTTTGTACTAAATTAATAATTAATATTTGAGGCATTTCAAACAAATATGGTGTTTGTTTTAAAAAATATCTTTCGAAATATTTTACAATTTTAATAAATGTTACAGGGTGTAATAAAAGTAACTATTTATTGTATATATAGGCACCAAGGGCCAATAGGCAAGGGGCGCCTAGCAAGTGGGGTGGGGGAGGGGGACAAGCGCCCCCCCTGACCCCTACCTGGCTACGCCACCGATAGTTATTACCGAGGTTATTACTAAACATCTCAGTGTGAACAAAGTATATAGCCCAAGAGCCCGTGAGAGCCAGACCTTCGAAATTTTATAAAAGTTGAGAGTTCTTCTGTGCATGTCCCCAATACAGGTAAGAATGATCCCCGCCCATGAAACCTGAGTAGTGGTGGCTTTGGCAGGTAACAGGTAGCAAAGGTGCATAAAATTCCACCTCAAATTTATTAATTTATAAAACTCAATTTTTTTATATTTTATTCGTAATAATATTAAAACTCGCGTTGCTCATTGCCAGACACTTGATATGGTTACAACCCTCTGCCAGACACCCCTGAACTATTATAATTTGTAACTATACTTACGTTATATTATAAAAGCTAAATTTTGTATATATTATTTGGACAACTATTAAATAATGTTTCCTTAATAGCCAGACAATTTCGAGGGTTATATCGTCCTGCCAGACGTATTAAATGTGTACAATAGTTATGAGTGAGAGGAGCATATTCAGCAACGGGTGTGAGTAAAATAGAGCGTGCAGTCTATTGCGCTAGTTCAGTGTGATGTCATTTTGGTTCCACAATTCTAACCAAACTTTTAACAAAAACATCAATAAATTTGACATATACGTTTTTACTGTTTCTATTTTATTTCAAAATATTGTTTACAGGTCATAAAAAATAGTTTAAAGGTATGTAATTGGTAACTAAACGATTGTATATTTGATACATGCTATCTACTTACTTTAGGAATATATTTATAAAATTGAAAAAACGATATACGGGATATATCAGTATATAACGAGAGTGGTGCTATAACTTCTTTCAGAGGTAACATTTTATAACCCAAAAAATGAGACATGAAAGCCTTATATTTAATGTACTACCCCGCAAGTAGGCTTTGATTTAACTTTTGACATTTGTTACAAATTAATTATTGAATTGTCAGTGTTTTGCGTACCCATCGAAAAATGAAAGTGGAGCAAAGATACGCGATAAAATTTTGTGTTCGATTGGATAAAACACCAACTGAAACTTTTGAAATGATTAAAGGTGCATATCTAGATAATAGTTTATCACGATGTGGAGTGTTTGAGTGGCATAAAAAGTTTAAAGACGGTTGTGAATCAGTTGAAGATGAACCTCGTCCCGGTCGACCACAAACTGCGAGAAATGACACAAAAATTGCAGAAATTAACGACTTGATACAAAATGATCGCCGGATTGGCATAAAACGAATTTCTGACAATGTTAATTTGTCTTACGGTACCACTCAAAAAATTATTCCTGAAGATTTAGAGTACCGGAAGATCGCGGCAAGATGGATTCCAAAAGTGATGACCGATGAACAAAAAGCGAATCGAGTGACAATTTGTCAACAGTGGAAAAGTCAATTGCAACGTAACCCACAGTTTTTAAATAATGTGGTTACATGTGACGAAAGTTGGTTTTATCATTACGATCCTGAATTAAAGTCTCAAAGTATGCAATGGAAGCATAAAGGCAGCCCAAGACCGCAGAAGGCCAAAACTGCTAAAAGCGCTGGTAAAGTGATGCACCTGATTTTTTTTGATAAATTTGGCGTTATTTACGATCACATTGTACCTAGAGGACATACAGTAACAGGGGAGTACTATTCTAATGTACTTCGAGGACCCTTAAATGCAAAATTAAAGAAAAAAAGGCTGCTTTATCAGGACTTTGGCTGGACGCTGCATCACGACAATGCTCCGGCTCATAGATCAATGATTTGTCAACGAACATTTGAAGAATTAGGGGTTGAAATTATGGTTCATCCCCCTTACTCTCCTGACCTTGCTCCATGTGACTTCCATTTGTTTCCTGAAGTCAAAAAAGAATTGAGAGGTAGAAGATTTGAGTCGGATTTAGAGCTCAACAACGCTGTGATGGGTATACTAAACAGACTATCAAAAAATGGTTTCTTAGAAGTTTATGATAAGTGGATAAAGCGATGGGATAAGTGTATTCAACAGAATGGAGAGTACTTCGAAGGATAGTTGTTGAATTTTTTTAAATAAATGTTTCATTGTTATACTATAGCACCAGTCTCGTTATTTTCTGATACATCCTCGTAATTTAGGTAAACAAAACGCACTCAAAAAATCTACTTCACTTTAATTGTCAGTGGAACCATAATTACATCATGACTGAACTAGCGCATCGCGATCTTTTACTGCGCATCAGCTGCTCATTGTGTATTATGTAGTGCGCGGTTATGCTCATAGTAAACGTACATCAAACGTATATTAAACGTTGTATTATTTTTCTGTGTAATTTCTAACTCACAAAAAAAATATTCTTTCGTATAATAAACAATAAAATTTTGATGACTTTGAAATTTCAGTTGAATTGAATGTAATAAACTTTATAAAATTTAAAAATAACATGAATTGAGTTACTAGATTTTTGATATGATTGATATTTTATTATAAAATTTTACGGAATATTATTTTAAAAATTTATTATTCAAACTGTAATAATTTTATTCAATGAAATTTCTCAAAAAATTAGAAAAAATATTACTAAATAATTCGGAATAAACAACAGTAGATGCGCAGTAAAAGATCGCAATAGACTGCACGTTCTATTTCACTCACACCCGTTGCTGCATATGCTGCTTTAACTCATAACTATTGTACACATTTAATACGTCTGGCAGGACGATATAACCCTCGAAATTGTCTGGCTATTAAGGAAACATTATTTAATAGTTGTCCAAATAATATATATAAAATTTAGCTTTTATAATATAACGTAAGTATAGTTACAAATTATAATAGTTCAGGGGTGTCTGGCAGAGGGTTGTAACCATATCAAGTGTCTGGCAATGAGCAACGCGAGTTTTAATATTATTACGAATAAAATATAAAAAAATTGAGTTTTATAAATTAATAAATTTGAGGTGGAATTTTATGCACCTTTGCTACCTGTTACCTGCCAAAGCCACCACTACTCAGGTTTCATGGGCGGGGATCATTCTTACCTGTATTGGGGACATACACAGAAGAACTCTCAGCTTTTATAAAATTCCGAAGGTCTGGCTCTCACGGGCTCTTGCTCTAATACAGTTCTTTACATAACCGATGGTTGTCTTAAAATTAAAAACGACGTGATTACTTTTCCGACTAACTCCTAAATATTTTATTTTTACTTAGACGACTGTTCGTAAATATCAAACAAAATAAAACTATACGTTATCCTTACTTTTCTCTCTTTCTATACAGCAACTCGTATTTTCTAAATTCGGCCTTCATTCTATTCGCCAGATCGTCCGTTTGGCTTAATTGTTCTTTTGTTTCTTCGTGAAGGTTATTTAATTCGCTAATTTTAAACTTTTGCGATTCGATTTCAGAGTGCAGCGAAGTTCTTTTGTTTTCCGCTTCGTATATCATGACTTCGATGTCCTGTCTTTTATCTCCTATGTCTCTCAACATCTAAGAAATTAAAATATTGTGCATCTATGCTGTTAATGGACGAATCGAAATTAGTTGCTGAATACCGTCATATGGGGTGAATTAGAACGATTTTTGCCTTATTCTGTTAGCAGGGTTGCCAATCTGTGAGTAATTCCTCACATTTGTGAGTAATTTACTAGTCTGTGAGTAATTTTGTGAGTAAAGGGCAATTGTGAGTAATATGTGAGTAATCGGGAAGTCAGCGTGGGTATATTCATGGTAGTTAGGCAAAATCCTGATCAGATAATTTATTAAAAGCGTGTTCTTTTTAAAATTTTAATATAAGCCTTATTTTACCCCCCCCCCCAGCACTTTTAGCAGTCATTACAATTTTATAGTTTTAAAATTGCAACGTCCTCTATTGCTTGGTCAATGTAAAAGAGTAAAAGTAATTTTGATATTTTACAACACTATAGGTGTCGTGTCGATAGTGGATAGTCCCATTGGGACTGTCCCAATCGTCGATTAATATATTTTTTTTGTTCATTTTAAAAGTATATATTTTTATTAGTAGATTTTTTTAAGTATTAGAATTATTTAATGATTTATTATGATTTGGCCCGTTAATAAAGAAGCTACTCTGATTCTCCAAACCTTTTGATCTGTTTTTTGTTCAGCTGATGACAAAGACGTTTTATATACAGGGTGGTTCATAACTATTTGGAACATAGGCTAAGGGCAGGTTATTTGTATCAAAATATGGGGATAAGGCCAAATATATACCTTAATAAAATATTGCTGTGGAATAAGATACAGGGCGTTAAATAATATTAATAATAGTAATAATAATAATAGACTATAATCTAACAGCAAATTATTTGACACAACAAAGCAAACTTTTCATAAAATGAAATGTTTTGTGAGTTGTTCATTTGCGTTTTTCTCGAAAACGGGTGAAATTTTCTAATCAAAAATACTAAAAAGTTTCGTAAAAAAAGCTACCACTTAATTTCATCATCAGGAATCATTCACGTGGCGCCTCCTGTAACAAAATGTGAAATAATACATAAAATATTATGCCTTGTCGAAAAATATGCCTTTGTGCCAATTTTGATATCAATTCATAAATATACAGTGACATCAGAAAAAAACAAAAAAACAGTATTCAAATTTAACGCCCTGTGGGGTCTATTCTGTAACAATTGCTTTATATTTAACGGCCTTTAAAAATATTGGCGACCTTTAAAAATATGTTTGTATTCGTTAATTTACTTCTGTCATTATTTAAACAGATTTCTTTAAGATAGTCCTCTAATGTATTTTAAAGATCCGTTTAAATAATGACAGAAGTAAAGAAGAAAATATTTTTAAAGGCCGTTAAATATAAAGGAATTGTTACAGAATAGACCCCTGTATCTTATTCCACAGCAATATTTTATTAAGGTATATTTGGTCCTATCGCCATATTTTTATCCAAATAACCTGCCTTAGCCTATGTCCCAATAGTTATGAATCAACCTGTATATTACTTGGTTATTAAAATAATGAATGAACAGAAAAAAGGTGCATCTGTTTTGACTCTTGTATGTTCTGAAAATTTCTCTTTTAATGTTTGGCAACATTGCACAGTAGTAAAATAAATTCAAACCAAAGTGCAAGAGTACGAAATATACGATTTATATAAAAAAAAAACTAGTAATATTGATATTTTCAAGTTGTGAGTAATTGTGAGTAATCCGGAAAAGTTTTTGAGAGTAAATTGGTAAAGACCGGTTGGCAACCCTGTCTGTTAGTAACTAAAGTCTATTCAGATTTCATTTACGCCGCGTCAAAACAATCTCTCCCATCCAGCAACAGCTCACGTGACATTTTTTTGCGCTTCTATTGGTTAATCGGTCGTTAGTCATTTAGACGACATGCAAATATTTTTTGTCAGAGTCGAATTCAGTTCAATTTGGATAATTATAAACGGCGTTTTGGTAGCATTGACCGTGTTGGTTAGTTTGGAGATTTTGTATGTTTGATTATAATTATTCATTATATTATAGTTTAGATATACATATATTGTGTTATTTATTTTGTTTTGTTTTTGTGGTTGTTGTTAGTTTGAACATTTTTTACTCTATTTTATGGACATTTAATTGACTATATTTTGTAACTGCTGCGTGACACTATGTCCTCCACAGATACAGCAGATAAAGTCCAGAAAAATGTTTTTACTCCTAAAAAGCGACCGAAAAAGGGACATTTGGTCATCCGTACTAAAGAAATGGTTCTTAATATTTATAAGTATTAAATTTTATAGAACCCTGATATGTTGCTGATAAAACAGGGATGTGCGCTAAAACCGTTTTTAATGTTATGAAGGAGTATAGGCAGATTCATATAAATTTTCTGAACCAAAAAGAAAGCTACGTTATAAACAAATTAGTGGCTCTGTGGATGATTTTGATAAAAATACAATAAGTCGCAAAGTACATCAATTCTTCTTTAGAAATTAACTTCCAACAATCGATAAGGTTTTATAAGAAGTCAACGATGATCCATATTTGTCTACTTTTAAGCGAGCTACATTTTACAAGCTATTCAAAACCCTTAATTTTAAATTTAAAACTCAAGGAAAAATAGTTTGCTTTTAGACAAAAATTAAATTGTTTCGTCCTACGCCACAAAAAATAAAACGGTACAGAGAAGAAAAGCAAAAAATATATTATCTTGATGAGACTTGGATTAACGCAGGCCACACCAAATCAAAAGTATCTTTCGATCCAGACAAGCCTTTTTGGATGAACTTTTAACTGGTTTTAAAAACCCATCAGGTATGTGCGTAAAAACAGCTCATTATATGCCATATTGGAAGTGAAGAAGGCTTTGTTTCTAATGCACTTTATGTATTTGAGTTGAAAAATCCGGTGACTACCATGAAAAAATGTGTGGAGAATCGTTCAAAGAGTAGTTTTCAAACACCCTACCAAAATTAGAAGATAACTGCATTATTATTCGAGAAAGCTGGAAAAAATACCTACAACGACGTCTAAAAAAGGTGATATTTAAAAATGGCTATAAGGGAAAAAAATTGAATTCGACTACCAAATGCTTAAGATCCAACTTCTAAAACTTGGTAAGCAACATAAACATTATGATACAGTTCATCAAATTTCTAGAGGTGTTCGACGCCCAGACAGAGAACGCGCTACGTGTGACTAAGATAGCTATTGTACAGTATGTTAAACAAGTTATTTTAAATAGTTTTTAATATTTTTAGGTAATTAAATTTTAAAAGTGTGGAATAGTTTAGGGATTAAATTGGTCTGATTGGACTTTCTTAGAACGTTTTTAAAAGCAGCTAAAGATAGTATGTAGAATTGAAAATAATTATTATGCCATAAAAGGTGTTTTGGAATTCCTTCAACCTTTTGAAATTGAGTCAGAAAATATAAATTTTATAGGATAGCGGAAAATACCTATAATTTTTTTGTAGGCCTTTGTAAATCGTGGAAATAGTTTATATTTTATTTCTACCTTATTAAGGAAAATGGTACCTATTATTAATAACGGTTGTTTCTGAAACATTACTAAAATTTTCAAAATTTTATTTTTCTACAAAATAATAAACTATACTATTTAGAAAAAAATGTATTTCTCTTATAATTTTATAAAAAATAACAGGAGAATATTTACATTTCTTGATCTATTAAACAAAACGATAAATTCTCGACGAATGACACCATGTTCTAGTACGGAAGCTAGCTTTACATTTTTGTTGGTGGTTTCATGGGTTTCATATCAATTTTTTGTAATTGTAGTTTACACGTACATATACCTCTTAACACTTGTTTGCTTTATTAAAAAAGTGTGTTGTTGTGATTTACGTCGAAATAAGTCAAAAACAACTTGAAACCCCATATAAAATCAAAAAGGAGAAACGGAAAAAAATTGAGCCTGTAAATGAACACAACTCAGAAACAAAAATAGCTATCTAATAATAAAAAAATAAAATTTGATTCTTGTGCAGCTTCATCTATATCATTAACAGTTTTTGGTTTTTTAATGGTTTTTCTTGGTGATGAAAATTCCGATATCTCACGGTTATCGATTCTTTTTTTCTCTCCAGAAATGCGGACGACAGTGTTTTTAGATACTCCTGTGGCTGCAGCAACACGATCATTTACATTTTTAAATGGTATTGAAGGTGAATTAAAGTTTCCTTCTCTTCTCATAAACTCTATAACATTGGCTATTATTTCGCGAGATTGACTGTTAATCACGCGGCCTCTTAATTTGCTATTAAACTCCATACTTAGGTTCTATTAAACTGTAATGAGCAAAAAACACAAACGAAAATAAAAGAAATGTTTTAGCGAAATTTACATCTGACATTTACGTCTGAATGAAATAGTGAAATACTTGATGCGCAGAGTGTACTTTCATTGCGTAAATCCGTCGGGATGCCTGTCAGTAGTGCTTTCTCTGTCTAGTCGTCGAAAGCCTCTAGAAATTTGATGAACTGTAGGTATGTAATAGATGAAATGGCTAAGTAGCAAAACAACATAATACTTCACATGTCTCCGTATCATTGTGAACTTAACCCTATTGAATTAATCTAGGTTGACGTTAAACAATACGTAGCAGATAAAAACTCAACATTTAAATCTGGAGACATTAAAATTCTTTTTGAAGAAGTAATATTATTAATTTCTCCAGAAAAATGGAAAAAGTGTATCGACCATGTTCGCCAAAAAGTTGAAGTAAAAATGTGGGAGTTGGATATTATAGAGGTTCAAGTAGAACCACTTGTAATTTTGATTAATGAAGATAGCCTTTCAAGTCTAACTAATTTATCCGATTCAGAATAGTGCTAAGTCAAGTAAGGAAGATTGCTATAATACAGGGTACAAGTTGTCTAATCTAAATACTAGTAGAACAAGAGCAATAAAGAACAAAAGTTATCAAAAATACAAAAGGTTTCTTTTTAAAATGCACAATTTTAAATCAAATACCAAATTCAAATACCAAATACCTCTTATATTTAAAGTTTTTTTAATGCTTTTAGTAGATATATATTAGCTATTAAAGAATTTGCAATTATTTGGACACCCTATACAATATAATTTTATAATATGATTGTTTTAATGCTCTGTATCACAGTAGACATATGTAATGAACTAAATATAATGCAACCATCTCTTTTAAAGTCAAATACATTTATTAATTTGTATTGCGGGTTAACGCAGTTTATGTCGCTCACCTATCTTCGTCCAGAAATGTCACTAAAGTCTGGGAGACCGTGTATGGCATTTATTTTATAGTTTTACTTTACAAAATATGTTTTTATCGTAATAAAAAAATAATTTCACAATTACACTCTTTTATTTTACATTTTTGCAAGACGGAGAAGTAAAATACGGCTCTGCTCAATTTTAGCGTCCACCTGCTTCTGTTTACATCAGGCGTAAATTAAATTTGAATAGACTTTAGACACTTCTCACCAGCAGGTTTTGACAAGTTAAGAGGCAGGTCCTATATGCCTCTGGAGGATATACAATGGGCCTTATGAGGCCTAATGATGTGGAGCCCTTCCCCAACCTATCAGATATAGATACTAATTACTTTAATGTCTTTTCCGAATTCATTCCAGATGACGGTACTTAACTCCATATTTCAATGAAATTATATAGCTTTTTTTAATTAAAATTGTATGTTATTAACATTGTCGAAAGAACGTATATTCTTACTAACTTTGACAGCTTTTTTTCCATAAAGATCGTTGGCGATTTCTCCTTTAATGCATTGGAAGATTTCTTGTTCAATATTAGATTTATTATTCGCCAGTTTCTTGTATTCATATTCCATGGAATTGTAAGCCAATTTTTTCATATGATAATCCTGTTGGGTTTTCTTAATGTCCTTATCCATTTGTTCCATATTTTTCTCGACTTCATGGTATTCCTTATCTAGAACGTAATGCAAAATTAGGAACCGTTTTCTAAGAATTATGTGAAGATATATTTTATAATAAGATTAAATACTGCTAGAATAGAATAATTCATCTGAAATAAAAACCAAATGGAGGTCATCATTATGAGATATAAAACATTTGTTTTATGTAGCACCATTGTACGTATAATACAGTACAGTGATGTTTACTAGCTTTCTTTTAATTAATAAAGTATATTGTGATGCTCGATTACACTGAAAAAGATAGCTGTACAAAGAGCAGTAGTATTTAATCGACCAGAATTTCCTTTTTAAATTTGTTATATAACGTTTAATTTATTTATTAAGAGCACACTTTATTTATAACGTACTATTAATTTATTTAATACTTAGACATTATTCTAACTCACAACTGGGAGCATTCTTGGATATCGAGGGTGCATTTGATAATACCTCCGTTGAATCGATCATCAGATCTCTCAAACACAGAGCAATCGAGGACACATGCGTGTCCTGGATCGACTCTATGTTAAGGGAGAGAACTATACACACAACCCTTATGGGAGAGACAACAGCGGCACGGGTAGCGAGAGGATGTCCACAGGGTGGAGTGCTGTCTCCACTCCTGTGGAACCTTGTAGTGGACGGGCTGCTTAGGGCTCTCAAAGATAAGGGATATAGAACCCTGGGATATGTCGATGATCTAGTGATCATGGCACAGGGAAAATACAACACTATAGTAAGAGATCGAATGGACAGAGGCGGAAGGACTAAACATTAGCCCAAACAAATCCGACATAATTGCATTCACCCGCAGGAGGAAATTGGAGGGACTAGGACCTCTAAACCTAAGAGGTGCAAGCATCCAGCTTAAGGGGGAGGTAAAATATCTCGGGGTTATGATTGACTCGAGACTTAGCTGGAACCAGCATCTAGAAAGAACCACAAGGAGAGCGGAAACCTCATTAATGATGGCAAGGCGATCCTTTGGAAAAAAATGGGGGTTAAAACATAATAACATACGCAGCTTTGGTGTGGTGGCCAAAGACACAGCAAAGGAAAGCAATAACGAGGCTAAGCAAGGTACAAAGACTTGCCTGCCTCGGAATAACGGGGGCAATGAAAACAACCCCCACTGCTGCAATGGAAGCACTAATAGGACTCCCACCTCTTCACTATGTGATACAAGGGGAGGCAAGATTAGGTGCTTACAGATTAGGGAATACACTGGGAAATCTTGACATTAGGCCAGGTCACATGAGTATCTCAAGGTTAGTGACAGGAGACGTGCTAGACATGAGATCAGACCACATAACCAAGAGGTACTCTTTTAATACTCCCTTTGAGGTTTTAATACAGGAAAGAGCGGAGATCACCATAAGGGAGCCCAATGCCCAACGACAGGAACAAACCTGGTATACAGACGGGTCTAAGACTGCGGAAGGCACTGGGGCAGGAGTATTCTCCAAAAACCCTGATACTAACCATAGCTATGCTATAGGAATACAATCCTCGGTATTTCAGGCCGAGGTATACGCAATTTTGCAATGTGCAAAAACGAACAATGAAAGAGCTGTCGAAAATCAGCATATTCAAATAATGTCAGACAGCCAAGCGGCACTTAAGGCCATATCGAGCCAGAAAGTTACGTCGAGGCTGGTATGGGAATGCATCGAAGAACTAAGAACACTGGCAGACCGAAATAGAGTAAAACTATTTTGGGTGCCAGGTCACAAAGGGATCGAAGGCAACGAAAAGGCTGACGAACTTGCAAAAAGAGGGTCAGAAGAAACACCGGAACCAGACACAAACCCAGGAGTACCAAAAAGTATAGTCCGGGGTTTTATAAATGACTGGATTCGGGAACAACATATCAACTATTGGGGAAGCACCCCAAAACAGGCACATGGAAAAGCCTTCATAGGCAGACCATGTCCCAAAAGAACTGGAGAACTTACTCTTAATGAATAGGAACCAGTTGAAAGTGATAACAGGGTTCATGACTGGACACGCCCCAGTAAAGGGACACTTGAACAAAATTGGCATGTACAATGGGGAACTCATGTGCCGACTGTCACAAGAAACCAGAAACGGCCAAACACATACTGTGCGAATGCGAAGCTCTAGATCGCAGAAGACAGGCTCTTTTTGGACAACTCCAGGTTGATCCAACAACGTATAGAACCCACTCACCCAAGGATCTGTACAAACTTGTACAAGGTACAAAAGTGATAGAGTGGGTGCTATGAACTAACATGGAGTAAAACACAATAAGCCAATAGGCTTCAGTGTTATTCGGAGACACAGTCAGACGAGCCCAGGGAAAAAAAACTCACAACTCTAATTTATTCATTACAATTTATCATTTCTCTACAGCACTTAGATTAAAACTTAATGTCTATTGACAAACTCGCGTTATTTATACAAAACCAGCTCTGCACCAGTACATTCTCGTCCGACTAGAAAATCTCAGTACTTCCTCTACACGTCAGCTGCATACCTAGATAATTCCGGAAATGTTTCGATCAAGAGTCAGGTGCCAGAAACAACGTCGCGCTAAAGATCAAAGAACAGAGTCGGCTCAGGCGTTCGCACAATCGTAATTTAATTAGCATTATATTGTATATCAAGCTGTGATCATTCGTAGTTGTTAGTTGGCTAAAGGTGCGTCCTCACCGAATCAACAGTCGATCGACTCTGTCTATCGACGTTGTCGACTTTGTGTGTACTCGGCAATCGACGGTGTCGATCGACAAAATAAATCGATCGACATTAGTGTGTGAACGTATTTTTGACGTTCGACATTCGACAATCTGTTGACACTGTAATTGTTTTCGTTGGAGAAATGGAATGAGAACAAGATAGTCATAGCCTTTATTGAGGCATACAAACTGAGAAGAAATCTATGGGATTCTAAAAACAAAAACTATAAGAGCAGAAACTTGAAGTACGATGCCCTTATAGAAATTGCTAATGAATTTAACGTCGAGAAGCAAGCGGTAGATCAAAAAATTAGAAATCTTTAAAGTCAAGCCACTATAATATCATTTTCGTCGGACATATTAATTTTGACTGATCGACAAACATTTCTGTCAACTTTGCTGTGGACAGATGCAGTTTTGTAAACTTGTTGATCGATAATGTCGATCGGCAGTGTTAATTCGGTGAAGACGCACCTTTACAGTTCCGTTTCGTATTTTTGAGTTTTTTCTTTCTTTTGTTATTATATTATTTTTTCTCTGTATAAATTTATTATTACTGTCGATGCCGACTAAACTACAATTTGTTTTAACTTCTTAAAACAAGAGGGCACTTTAAGATAATTCTATTTTCTTAGGCTATATAATGTCACCGAACGTAAACAAGACAAGAAGGGTCACCCTAAGCGCCTCCTCCAATGTTGCCTTTCTCGCTCATTCTCTGATGTCACTCTTCCTTGATGTATTTTGGCCGATTTCAATATTTGGGTGGGCGCTGTGACAACGATTATACAGGTGGTGGTCGTACGTATCGAGCGAGAACTTTGGCGATCGGATATACCCGTGTGTTTGATAATTTGATAATTAAACAAACAATAATTATTGTGGTTGATTGGTGACGTTGTTTCCATATTATTATTCCTGCGGGGAGATTTAAATATAACAGCTACATAATAACAATTTTCGATAATTAAATCAAATAGAACAATGCGTGAGCAATAGCTTGATTTCACTATAGCACTCAAGGCGACCCATCATTTCGTTCTCCCTGGGAGAGAGCAGTCGACGGTTCGTTACTACCGTCATCACTTCCCGCACCCCCCACTCTTGACTGCCAATATGTTCTTTACATTATATTACAATGAGTGTTTATTTATTATTATTATTATTATTATTATTAATACATTTAGCGGGATTTAAATGCAATCGGAAATGGTGAACCCTTGCTTCTTATATGAAAAATACAGTGATACTGCGGCCTTAAATTACCCATTAATCGCTTGTAATGATCAGATTATAATAAGTACAATACCCTGCAAAATGTATTTTGTTATCATTTATCACCCTAGAAAATATTTGGTGCATCAGGTCCAGACAGTGACCTCCTTTTGGTTTGAACTAAATATTTAAACTATTGTAATAACATTCTTACCGAGAATCGTTTTCAAATTTGTTTGCTCCTCAATTAGAATTCTATTATTTTTGATGTCCTCGTAAATCCTCTCCTTTATCGATGTAAAACGTTGATTTTCCGTATGCTCTTTCTTTATTAATTTTTTGGACACTCCGATTTCTGTCAAAATGCTCTTGTGTTTTTCTTCCTGCTTGTTCAATTCTTTATTTAAACATTCCAGGCCTTTATCGCGATTGCCTACGGCGCACAATACGCTGGTCCATGAGAATAATAGAGCTTTTAATTCGGATTGCAAAGCTGGAAAAGAAAAACCCATTTTCTTATAGTGTGTTTCACTGTGAAAATGACGTATGTTAATTGTAGTTGGCCACCGAATTGATTTCAAATAACCCATAATTAATGGGTCTTTCACCCTTAATAACCGGATATTATTATTGTTACGTAATTTTTTCTTGGCTCGTTACCATAAAACCACCCCCGTATATGTTTTTAATATTTAACACTATTATACATCAACCAATCTAAACAAACTGTGACAAAGAAGGGCGAAGTGAGAAAATCGGTTGAGATCTTGAAACTGAAATGCAATTTTGGAAAATAAGAAAATATATTGTAATATCTTATACCCACTATGAAATTATGAACAACAAACTATATCTGAAAATACTGAGTCAATCAAAAAGGTGACGAAAAATGGACAAAAATAATTTTGGTTGTTCAAATATTCATTGTAAAAAAATAATCGTCATCACTTTCGATTTCATCTTAACAAATCAAATCGTCGCCGTAGAGTAAAAACTTCGTATCATCACATTACCAGGTTTTCAGGAAACACTAAAAATTTTTTTTTGGAATTGTTAATTTTGTAAAAGTAGTTTTTTTGTGTAATAGAAAAAGGGAATTTAAAGGAAGTCAAAAAGATGCTAAATGGTTAAAAATTTACATTTTTAAAATTAATAGAAAAAAACACATTCAGTTATGCAAAAATATGAGTTGCGAGGTTTTGACTCTACAACGACGAAATGTTGTTTATAAAAGTTCTATTTATATTGTTAAATAATCTATTCAAATATCATGCGAGGAGATAATTTTATTGTAAATATTTTAGCGATTCAACCCGCTATGACTTCAGGCTGTACATGTTAGGTAAATTAATTTAGTGACCTATTTTGATAGGCGCTAGATTTCCTTCAGGCGCTCTTTGCATACATGCTATTTCGTTCTGCCGCTCTTTTGATATGCGCTATTTCGTGACATATGCTGCATTTGAGAATCCACATCGGATGCATTTTTTACATCTCGAGCGTTTTTTTATCCACATCGCACACATCTGTCCCATTACATTTACGTATACTGAATCACGTGATCAAAGATTTACTACATCTCAGATGCATCCGATGTGGATTCTCAAACGCGGCAATGTGCTAGTTCAGTGTGATGTCATTTTGGTTCCACTGACATTTAATTCTAACCAAACTTTTAACAAAAACATCAATAAATTTGACATATACGTTTTTACTGTTTTTATTTTATTTCAAAATATTGTTTACATGCTATCTACTTACTTTAAGAATATATTTATAAAAGTAAAAAAAACGATATAATTTAGGTAAACAGAACGAACAAAACGCACTCAAAAAATCTACTGTCACTTTAATTGTCAGTGGAACCATAATTACATTGTGGCGGATCGCATGCGAGCCGGGGCTTAACAAATGAGTTATGAGTTGTTTTTGTTTTTAGATTATTGTTAATGTTAACGTGACTTTTATATTTTAATTGAATTGTCAACTTTATAATTTTGATAATAAAGCCTTTTGTTAAAAGATTCCTTCCTCCAATATTACTACAACATCATCACTGAACTAGCGCATAGTACTTAAACAACGGTTTGTAGACTAAAACGGTGGCCTCATCGGGTTGCTAACACTGATCTGTAATAGGTCTTTTCCTTTGCATCGAAAGTGTAGCACTGAGCTACACCACTTCTGAAAATATCGTTCCATTTATACAAATTGTATGGATGGAACGACATTTTCAGAAGTAACGTAGCTCAGTGCTACACTGTCGATGCAAAGGAAAAGACCTATTATTTTACTGGATAGGATATAGCCCTCTAAAAAACGTTCCGAAAAATTGGCCGATTTGGGCAAATAATAGGTCTTTTCCTTTTCATCGAAAGTGTAGCACTAAGCTATGCCGCTTCTGAAAATATCGTTCTATCCATACATTTTGTATAAATGGAACGATATTTTCAGAAGTGGTGTAGCTCAGTGCTACACTTTCGATGCAAAGGAAAAGACTTAATATGGCGGACCGGATGTTATTTAACATAACCTCTATTTCCATTTGTCATCACATTTGTCATTTAATTGTGTCAACAAGTTACGATGAGATGTTTTTTTTTTATTTATTTAGGTAGTATCGAATAGCATTACTATATTCGTGAAGACACAATATGCTTCACGTTTCCATTTTTATATTTTCTTTCATAAAAAAATCAAATTATGGGTGAATTGTCCCGAAGGACATTGCCCGCAGAAGGAATAGAAGAAGAATAAGAAGAAAAACTAATCAAATCATAGGTTAGGTATGTCAAATTATCCCAAAATTCAGTTATGTGATCCCACCATAATTTGCCCAAATCGGCCAGCAGTGTTGCACTTCCGGTCTCCTTGGTGGAACGGATTTTTAGTATGTTAAATATAGCCTATATCCTATCCAGTAAAATAATATAGATCAGTGGTTGCTAACACGATGTATCTTAGAATATATATAGTCAGGAAAGAGGAATCCTAAACGACCTTGGAATCGCGATGGTTTCTAATTTTGACAGTGAACTAGATGAATATGGCGACAAGTGTTTCCGGTCTACCAGTGACGTACTGTCATAAAGGGGAGTAAAAATGAAATTATAAATTCTCATTTGCATCTTATCTAAATTTACCGATTTCTCTCATTTTAACGAATTGCTATTTTCTTGCGTTTGCATTTTTTTTTTATTAACCTTCATTATGTGAATAAATTTTACTTTAAAATTGCATGTTGGGTGGGATAAATATAGGAAAATATTTTTGGGATAATTCATAGAGGGATTTCATTTGAAAAATCAAAGCAATAATGTATTAAAAAAAATATTGACTTTTTTACGTCTTCATTATGACAATGTCTTCATTATTCTACATTTTACAAATTATTAAGGTTTAAAAAATAAATGTTTTGTAGATATGCGTTAAAAAAAATTAAATATCCTATACTTATATTTAGGTCACACACCGATATTTCTTTCTTAGATGTTTTTGTTGGAGTACATACAAAACTTGCTAATATCGAAGAGAATTTCTAATCATTTTATTACATAATATTATTAGTAATATTTTTTGCAGGACAATTTTGCATAAGCAGGTAAAACACCTTTCCAAGAAAGGATCCTATAACGTAATAATGATTCTATGAGTGCAAAATAGATTATTTTTAAATGTACATTCAACGCATTATTTGACTCGTGTATCGGGGACAACACTAATCATTTATAGTGCAATGTCGTACGCATTTTATTTGTACATCGGTCTCCTTTTGACAGAGTAGATGAGCTGTGTCCAGGCCGTTGGTGTTTATGCCGGTCGGCGTAGCCAGGTATGGAATGAAATTTTATGGTGGTGGCCAAGCCGCCACCCTACGAGAAGTCGTTACTTCGTCTTCTTGTTGTCACGGCATTATTATTATTTATACTATTGATAGTCACGGCGTAACTGAAAATAAACAAGACGTATTCACACAAACACCTCCCACCACAGCAATTTCAAATTATAAGTGTTGTCCCCGATACGCGAGTATTATTTGTATGCTTAGTCCAGTTATGATGAGAGTCAATTTGTACTCTAAGGTATTTGATATCATTTGTAATACTTCCTACAACTTTTGTAAATAACATTGTTTGATATTTTCTATAATATAGAATATATAGAACTTCCACACACTATTGGGACACCCTCTATATGATAGGTTATGTTATTTAGACATAATCTATCATAAACGTTCATGTTGGTTTATGCCGAGAAAAATATTTTAATGTTTACGGACTGGACTGAATGTTTGTTAAAATATTGACCTGTTATATTTGTACTCCCGAGTGCTATTTTCTGTTCCATCTCTTCCACGTCCTCCTCTTTTAGTCGAAGCTGATGATTGCTGGTCTCTATTTCGTTTTCGATTTTCCAAACTTCCGTAGTAAGTTGATGGACGAGATAATCTTGCTTTCTTTTATCATTTGCCAACTGATCGTTGTCCTTTCTGGATTTCTCCACTTTCCTCTTGCTGATGGTTATGTGCGACTCCATTTGATTTTCTGATTGCGTTAGTTGTCTAGTCAATGCGCCAAGGCCGTCTATTTCGTTCATCAGTTCTCTGTTGCATTTTTCCGTTTGGTATAATTTGTTTTGGGCTTCCTTCAATTCTTTTGTATTTACTTTAAGATCTTCTTCTTCTTTTTCTTGAGCTGCGGCAACTGTTTGTATGTCATTTATTAGACCGTTCAAAGTTTTTTGTTGAGAACAAACCTACGAAAAAATCATAATTAAATATTTGAAAGTGAGAAGAAAAATTCCGTTTAGGTAAATAATTCGTCTATAATAGTGACGCTGCGAAACAGTAATGAGACGTGCCGGAGTATTAGCACCATTACTGCACTAAGGAGTATCGAGTACTAGCCACTTCTGTACTATGGAGTATTAGACTACTCTAGTATTCCATATTCTACATAGAACACGAGGCTAATGACCTAAGTTGTCGAAATCGAAGACATTGAAAAAAAAATCACAGAATTAAGAATCGTATAATTGACGACCTTGACTTTTTCGATATTGACAGTTACAGTTACTTTAGTATTTACAACAAAGGGGAGATAAATCAAAACGATGGAACTTATCTTAAATAATTCTACTCGTATGAAATTCAATATATAGGAATCATAATGTATAAACTTCAATAAACATAAGATAGTAATATAAACTGTTGTATTCAAAAAAACTACTTTCCAATAGCTTGGAAAATTGCAACAATTAGACCACTTTGTACATTTTTCTGATTTAAGGCCTATTGATATTCTGACTGCGATGTCCAAAATTCTTGAAAAGGATATCTATAATAGAATTTCCCTTTATATTGATGAATACTTCCGGATTGCGAGGCTAGTTTCCGAAGTGGCTACAATACATCTGTTACACTTTGTCAAGTTACTGATGATATTGTAAGAAATATAGACAGAAGACAAATTACAGGACTTGTTGATTTGGACTATTCCAAAGTATTTGATACTATCAATCACAATCTACTTTGTTTTAAACTAAAATATTTTGGTTTTTCTGAAAATTCTATTCATCTCATTCATTCATATTTGTCTAACCGTAGTCAAAAAGTTATTTTAAATAATGAATTTTCTTCATTACAAAACGTAAGTCTGGTGTGCCACAGAACTCAATAATAGGACCTATGCTTTTTATTTTATATACAAGTGATATCTTGACATCTATGCGCAACTGTCTGCCGATGACACCCAACTTTATTACAACATTGATAGTAATAATTCTCAAGTTGCTGAAGATCTTGATCTTATTCATAAATTGTCAATTAAACATAATCTTAAGCTCAATAAAAATAAATGCCATCAACAAAAAACAACGGAATTACCTTAGTCAAAGTCTTTCCATAAAAATTGATCAACTAACTTTACCTATAGCGGATTCCATAAAGAATCTAGACATTCTGTTTGACTCTGATCTTAATTTCCACTCGCATGTAAACAACCTTTTAAAAAAATCATTTTCGAAAAAAGTTATATTCCACAGTCTGTCTTGGAAGGTGAAAAAAATGTTATCAGAGTCTCATTTGGTGATGTCGTCTATGGAAATTTTATTGAATCTTATACACAAAACCGCATACAAAAAGTACAAAATTATTGTGCTAGATTTATTTATGGACTTCGAAAATATGATCGAGTATCTCATAAAATTTATGAACTTAAATGGTTAAAAATGAAAAATAAACGTCAATATAGTGTGACGCGGAGCCAAGCCTGTATAGTAAGCGACCTTCAGCTTGCCACTCGACTCATGGTCGAAACACCGCTGACGTATAGATACAAACGCTCCGCGTCTCGAATATACCTAAACAAGCGGTACGTGACGTTGACTCATAGAGATGGAATTCTAGGACATTCCATCGTCGTCTAGAGACTTCTCGTACAGAGTGGGCTTTGTATAAATAGCACAATTTCGTCGACGGATGAGTAGTTGAGAATAAAGTGTTGGACAGAAAAGTTAAATTGTAATAAATAAATTTCATATTTAGTTTTATATTTCGAACTTTATTATTATTATTTTGAAATTTAATTAATGATAAAATAAGTTAAAATCTAATTTTCTTTATTATTTTATTAAAAGCATTATGCTTCTCTTTATATTGTACTTTTAGGAAAACTGTAAGAATAGCTTGTGGTTAAACTGAGCCTCTTTGTACAATTTATTAATAAAGACGATTTATTTTAATTATTATTATTATTAATTGCTGCCTATCTATTACCATATCTAAATTCCTTAGAATTTAATGAAAAAGTCATACATTTTCTCTTAAATTGAATAACCAAAGAAGATATTTACCTTTTCGTTGGGGGGGTATAAATATTGACAAAGACCGACTACCAAAATAGTAACAGTACCATTTGGGAAGGCGCGACCGACGACAGCACTTTTAGCACGGTATAATTTGATGCTTGCTGCCTGTCGCTTGTCGTCTTACTCGGTCTCGCCTTCCCAAATGTTACCTTAATGATTATCTAAGTAAAATGATTCAACCAGGGTACAGAAAAACTCAAAATCGTGCTTAGATCACATTTTTGTAAAAATACCGATCAATAAAATTGCAGGGCATTTGTAAATAATCTCAGATGTAATATAGACTATTTTTTAGTTTTTGCACTGGTTAAAATAAATTCTAAAACGACAGCACAAAGTCTTAAGTAAAACCCTTTATAGTAAAAAAATATTCGAAAAAAAATTTAATGAAGAGCAGAAAAAAATAAATTTACGGTATTTCCGATACAAAAAAAAGCAAATAAATGTATGAATAAAATAAAAAACATAATTGATTTAACAATCACACTAAAATATAAAAATATTAAAAAGAGAGACAACCTTGTTTAACTAATATAAGGATTCAGAAATCTTAATTATCTAAATTTCTATTTAATTAAACTTTAAAATTGAAAAGTGCCAATTTAATTTTTCCCCACATCATATTTTCCCTCAATGTATATCATACGTACTTGTTGTTGTACTTCATATGCTCTGACCCCAACATCCACAATTTCGGTTTCCTTTTTCTTTATATCGTCTTCCATTTCAAAGAGTTCATCTTTCAAACGGTCTATCTGAGCCTGTAGATGCTCCTTTAATGCTTTTTGGAACGGAACTAAAATCGGATGGTCTGGATCCAGGAGGTAATTGGAGTAGTCAATGTTCCCATTTGGTTCCTCTTTTGAATCGTTCGTTTCCGACATTTTGGTAGGTAGTTTGTTTAATTTTGTTAAACGTTAAAAATTAATATTTTCATGTGGAACGGAATAAAATTGTAAATGTTTTGTCAATATCAATGACAAATGGTTACTATGGTAATCGAAGTAAAATTATAATGATGGATCTATAAAGGAACTGTATCTAGGTAACATATGAGGTAACTATGTAGAGTTCTTGTTTAAGCGTAACCTAGGTGAATATGCCAATGGGACTATGACCTAAATCTGTATACCACATCAAATCGTTGATTACCAATAAAATATGAATAATCTACAGTGAAATAAAAATACACATTTCTATCTCTGTTTTTAAACTAGGAGGAGCGAATTGAAAAGACGCATTTACACAGGGAAAAATAACTAGATTTGTTACTAAGAGCGAGTTTCGAAATATAGTCGTGTTCAAAATTTATGAAATAATTATCTTTATCGGCATTAATCGGTGAACGGCCAATGAGCGGTTAAGAAACGAATAAATGTCATAAAAGTAATTTTTTAATTGGTCCCTGACAACGGTCGTAAATTTCCATTGATAAGGCAACGTAAGGATACGTCATATGTATTATTTTTGATATACAAAAGTGGGACCGGTAGGCGTGGCTTTTGCACTCACTAAAATGGCGGAAGAGCAGAACCGGATTTACAAGTTTTTATTGAACTATTTCTGGTTAAATATCATTATTTGAACTATAAAAAAATTAATTTCCTTTTTATTGACATTGACTTAAAAGGTAGTGGAAGGCCGAGGTTATAAAAGAAGGGGGGTCAAAAGCTTAAATATGAACGGTTTTCAGCCGAAAGGTGCTGAATAAAGTAAATGAAAGAAATAAAATATAACTGATTTAATTATCACTCAAGTGGCTATTAAGCGCTGGAGAATATATTATTTGCAAAATTGCAACTAATCAATGACCATCACATAACTAACTTAGGGCCGATTCCACCATTGGGTTTAACGAAGTTTAAAATGACATTTTTACATACAATTTAATTTTAATCTTCAATTAATAGTTTAAACTTTAACACAATGGTGGAATTAACCCTAAAGCGTTGAAACCATTCACAGAAAAAATAAATAGTACATTTTTGGTTCACATAAGCGACAAAAGTAAATAGAGTTCGATTTATTGGATCAGTCGTCACACGTTTGCACTAGGGCACATAAATAGCTCAATCTTTAGTTTTTCGTTTTTCTATGAGCCCAATGCTTCTGTCTTTATCGGAAAGTACAAGGTCGCAAATGTCAAGTAATCTAACCATGGAGGAAGAATCTAACCTTACTTTAATTAACAGCTTTCTCGAAATTAAGAACAAATGTTCATACACTAAAAGCTCGATAATCAGATACGAAACTTAATGCAAGGCTCGTGGAAAATGGCTAATAAGCAATCTCTGTGTAGGTAGATGCACTATTCAGGAAATCAAAATGTGGATTAATCTTACTTGGTCTTGGTACTTTTGTAGATTCAGACTGAAAGGTGTATATCTTCATGCAAGACATTCAGTAAATCAGCGAAGCCACAACCAGCGGTGTGCAGGTGCACTTCTAACAAATGTAAAATATGAAGTGATCTTACTTGAGACCTATAGATCCAATGACGATAGTATGGTAGTTGGTTTGAGCTGGGCTTCTCACCATCTGCAGAGATTATGGCTACTTATGTAAAGGCCTACCCTAATAACACACAACATGCACCACAAGCGTGCCGGTCCAATTTAATTGGTCTATGCACAATAATCATGCATGTATAATTGAAAGTCAGACAGAGAATGTGAAGATAAAGTTGAAGTCTCAATCATAATTAAAGTCACAGATGAAGTTAAAGTTAACAGCAAAAGAGTTGAAATTGTAGGATGGTGATAAAGGGAGGCCAACATCTAGGTAATAAATGTTTTATTGAGTTAGGAAAAGTATCCACTGTGCTTTTCTTAACCACTAAGGTAAAAACCAGAATATTTTCTAATACACAATTTCTTCGCTAGGCAAAATAAGAAATAAATTTGTGAGAGTACTTCCCAAGTGTTTTTCCAAAAGCTCTAAGAACAAAATTGACGAAAATGGCCTAATCCAAGTTCAAATTCTAAAACTTGAACATTAAAGATAAGTATCTTACTGTAAAACAAGTAAAACCCCGTTGTTGACTAAATGGTTGAATAATTCATTACCTAGGTGCAGGTAGAACAGGGACTAGAGTTTAGCAGAAAAAGCTACTAGAAAAGGTGAACAAAACAGACTGGGGCATATGAACGTCAAGCAAATATTGTAAATGCAAATAATGATTAAATAAAAGTGTACAAGGAATAAAGTTTTAATATTTTCTTATCCATATCTATGAGTGATATTTATTTTTAATACTAGACAAACGGTTATGATTTTATTGCTAGTCTCATTAAAAAAAGACTAATGTTATTTTTTTTGCGACTTATGGCCAAGGTGTATATACCTAATATGCCAGTCTCAAGCTTGTGTTTAAATTCTTAATAATTGTGTTCTGTGTAGGCTTTGTTACTGTTTCCCAGCGCCACTTCAGGAACAGCACTGTTAATTATTAGAACCCAACAGTGAATGGTCGAGTGGGGAATCATACCAAGGCATTAGAAAATATTTTTATTATTATTAGAACTTATATACAGTGTGTTCATAATATGCACTGTACAAACTTAAATATTATATTCCTGAATTCATTTCAAGCATAAAATGTCCTATGAACAAATATCCAATTCTACATGGTTACCAAGCTGCAAGAGTTTAAATATCAAAAGATATATTAACACAGTATCATAGCCTAAAGAATAATATAGCCCCGACACTCTCTATCGGCGCCTTTGATATCTGCGAGACCATTTCTCTAAACGGTAGTGGGGGCCGCACGAATTATTCGGTCTTGACGTACAGTAAGCCGGCGACGAAACATGCATGGGCCGTATTTGGAAAATATAATATTTTAAATGTATATATTTAAGACTAAAATGTCATATTTATAAAAAAAATAAAACGCAAATAAATATTAAATAGTTTATATTTAAAACATGCAAATGGCAAATATTATAAATATTATCCTGTTATATTTTATCAAACTAAAATTGAGTTAAACGTTTACTTATTCGGTAACAAACCTACTCCTTGTTATATTATATAAAATGGCTTTACAAATGTTTCCAAATAATAAGTTTGCGGTTCCTGTTCGCCTGTTTAAAATTTTTATTGCTATCTTTTATTGTATAATATATTCTTACACGCGCATATAACCTCATAAGGTAAAAACGTGGAAACTGCTGACAAGGATGGTAAAATTTTATTTTTTCAAACTCTTTTACGAATTCACTAACAATATTATGTTTAGTGGAAAAAAACTCAAATTTTTCCTGAAAAACGGCTTCCATCGAAGAAACAAAGTACAGAAACTCAGTATTGGGCATGCGTAAACCACCAAACAAATGTGTGACACTATGATGGTACGCTCGATAATAAGAGTAAAACGATGAATCATCTAGGTCTTTAAATTGTGTTCCATAATTTAAACATATCGAACATTCGTGTTTGGCCAAGCATTTCTTTATTAAATAACCGGAGATATACCTAAAAAAATTTTTCTGTAAATTATCGCATGTTTTATAGTCATTTTCAATAGTGTCCTGAGATTTGACAGATTTGTCACTCTCAGTTTCGTTTTGGTTATTTGGTATGTCAGCTGCTCTAATAATAATTTTTGCAGCATCCTCTTCACAATTCTCGGTTCCTGAATTGATTATTTTCATGCAGAATAACTTTCGAAAAGATCGGATAAATTGAATTGGAGTTGGGTTGACACAATTTCCATTTTGCTGCCTAACTGACCCAAAAAAATTTTCTAAGCAGTCTTGCTGCGTTCTCCTGGTAAATAAAAATTGCATGCCTTCATTAGATACGATATCCCATAGTTCTAAGGTAGCGTTAATAGCTATTTTCCATCCTTCAATGCATTTTATTCCATTGGTGACATTATTACCTTTTGAGTTGCGTACTAATAAATTGTCAAACATTTGGTAACATTCTTGTAGAAAGGATTTTTGTTCTTCTGTTGCTTTGTAAGCATTTTGAAATGGCGTAGATCCAAAAAGATTTGATGAATTTAGGATATCGAAAAGATTGTTTATTTTTTCCACAAATTCTTGCGTAGCAGTGGCCTCTTTAGGAAGTTCTCCGAACCTTATATAAACAAGAAGTCCTGCGGCCACTGTCTTACTAAAAATTTGGGTAGCGTATTTTACTTTCATCTTTTCAAAGTTGTTTGGACGAATGTGTGACTCTGTAAGCTTGGGTGCCGCTCTAACTTGATAACCTTGATCATGATTGAAAAATTGTTTTATAAATTTCCAACTGATTATACATCCGTCAATTTCAAAAAGGTGTTTAAGCAAATTATTGCGAAGTGATTTTATTAAATGTGGGATATCAAATATATAAACAATTTTTGTGTTTGTATGATAAAAATACGGAGTTTCCGGTGTTACCCCTAATATTTTTGACAACTGTACATTATTTGTACCCATATCCGATACAATCGCTGTTACTTTTAAACCAATTTTCATTAACCGTGAAATCACATCATATAATACGTTTTTTAATATTTTACCAGAACAAGTGGAGTTGACAAAAAAATAGGCTAACGGCTGCTTCCAATTTGCTGATAGTCCTCTCACCATGATTACAGTTGCATTTAGAGCCGGCTTAAAATGTTTTTCTCCATTTCCCATATCTTCAAACCCAATTATTCTATCCATATCAGTGGCATAAAATAAATTCGCCTTAATGCTCATTTCGTCTACACAGATTATACAAAGTTTATCTATGCTTCGGAAATTATTAATTTTCTTTTGCAGAGTTTTAAAAACAATGTCGTTAATTCCAGCCGAAATTTTAATATGTTCTATAAATCGTTGTAGCGTTCTTACCGTTGGCAAGTTTATTAACTAATTCCTTTTTATATAATTTCGGTCCAAGGAAATATAACGACAAACAATAATTTTTAAATTCGTTTGAAAATCTTTTACCTTGCGGTTTTTTCTTTATCTGACTCAAAACAGCATTAATGCATGTGGCCAACTCCACTGAAGGGCAAAATTTTAATGTAAGTTGTTT